TCTCGTCGGTCGTCGGGGTCGTCTCGTCCATTTCGTTATCTTCATTCAACATCTCCAACCCCGTGTCCGTTTCCTGGTCGCTAATGACAAACGACGCACCTTCCATCACTACACCAGCATACGTACTGCTGCTGTTTTGTTTTCTTTCACCTTGCTTTCCTTTTTCCTTTAGTTGCTTCTCCGGTTCCTTCCGAGCCTTCCGCTTGGGACAAGAAAGCTTCCGGTGTCCGTCCGCCTTGCACAGAAAACATTTATCTTTGTTGCCATCATAAAATATATTTCCTTTGCGGTTGAAGAAATACAATGACGTGGGGATTTCCTTCTTCACATCCATATATATACCGCGTATCCCTGTATAAACCTTAAAGCACAGATCAGATGGAAATTTCTCCCGGATGATGCGTTTAATTTTTCCATATTTCCCCAGCACTTTATCCAGCTCGTTGTCCGGTACCTCTGGTGGCAAGTCATACACACGCACATACTGGATAAATTCACCAGCATGCGACATGCGTACCTTTGCCGTCGTTCCATTCGCATAATGGAAGATTAAATCCTCCGAATTGTATGTCAGAGCATGGAGCATCGCTTCCTCTGATTTGAACTTTATGAAGACTCCCCTTTCCTCACCAATGCGATAAACGGCTTCCATTTCAGCCGGATCCGCGTCGAGTGCTTTGGCGAAATTTACAATCTCTCCGATGTTTGGTTTAGCATCATAATGGCTGAAGCTAAACTTGATGGTGTTTTTTACTTCACACATCTTGCACCGTAGCAACAAAAGGCACAAACTGATAGCAACGAACAAAGAGCAACTATATAATAGCGAGTCTCAAAAACAGGCTATCGCGTGGTTCACACCGAAATAAAAATTCGACTGTTTGCATTTTTTTTATCAAATGTTAAATTCAGTCCTCTATATCCGTAATACGCGCGCGAGGCTCAAACCTTTGTAGACTACTTTTTATTTTTTTTAATTAATCTACTATTAAATCAAATATTAAAAATCCATCATCACCATCGTGGCGAACAGAAATAGTTTTTGCAGTGCTACAATAATGATTAAAAAGTCGTTATAACAGCTATCCATATAAAATAATCCGTTAGAGATAACTTCGTCAAGATATATAATTTGTCAATTCATAAAAAAAATCACTGGATAACTGTTCAAAAGACAGTTTTAACGTGTGAAATGCAGTGTCTTTTAAATTCTGTAAGTGTTACTGAACGTTTGATATGTCTAGGCATCGAATTGAAAACATTTATTCCTTTATAATATAATGAATTTTGTGAAGCACAAGTCAAGAAATATGGTGTTCTTATTTCAACAGCGTTTCCAGTATTATATCTATGAAAGTCACTTCCTCTTTCAATTCGATCACACAGATATCGAGGCAGCAAACCGTTAACTACTTTAAAAATGAACACCATAGTCAAATATACAATTCTTTGCTTCACCGACAAAGGCGTCTAACATCAAAGTTGAGGAAGTGAATCTATTACATCTAAAAATCAAACGCATTATTTTATTCTGCAAGCGCTGTAATCTCGATATTTGTGTTGCATTGGCCAGAAATAAAATGGAAGGGCAAAAGTCAAGATTAGGAGAGATGATTGATTTGTATAGCTGTATTTTACTGGCAATAGTTAAATCGTTTTTCAGTCGACATAGAATTCCATACTTCTTGGCAATTTTCTTGATGACATTGTCAATGTGAGAGTTGAACTTAAGTGTGTCATCAATAATCACGCCAAGATATTTAATCTCCCGAACGCGATCAATAGTCTCATCATCAATTACAACAGAGACGTTCTCATTTACTCGATTCCGCGAAATTACCATAAATTTAGTTTTACTTGTATTCAATTTTAACTGCTTATACTTCAACCATCTACTTAGAGAACGCAAATTTTCATTCAAGTGTAAAACGGCATCATCTAAGTCCTTAGCTGCAATGAATAACACAGTATCATCTGCAAAAAGATTAATGTCGCAAAATCGTAAAACACGTCGCAAGTCATTAATATACATAATAAATAACAGGGGTCCTAATACACTTCCCTGGGGCACTCCAAGGGTATTCCCCACGGGACTGGAAACAGAATCATTAAAAACAGTCCGTTGAGTTCTGTCAGACAAATAGCTTTCAAACCATTTATATGCAGTACTCGTAATTCCAAAGCGCTTGATTGATCTTAACAATAAGGGCCTAGAGATTGTTTCAAAAGCGCGTTTAAGATCCAAAAAAACAGCAAGAATCGTATCTTTACACTCCATGTTATTTTTCCACTTCGCTAATACCAAATTCAACGCGGTTTCACAAGAATGGCCTTCCCGATATCCCGATTGTTCTGGTATCAACAAACTATTACTATTTAAATACTCAAACAGCTGGCCTTTAACAACATGTTCTAAATATTTCTCTAATGTGTGCAACATGTTGTTGATGGGACGAAACTCTTCGGCTTTAATCGTTCCAGCAGCTTTTTGAATAGGGACCACTGAGGATTCCTTCCAAATTTGTGGCACATGTCCAGTTTGTAATGATTCATTAATAAGGTCCAGCAAGATGTGGCAAATGACATGAAAGCAATCTTGAATAACTCTAGCATTAACATTATCTACTCCAGCCGATTTTCCTAATGAAAACAAATAACTCTAACTTCATCTAATGTAATTGGGTGAAAAACTTCAAATCTACAACTACTATTAACTGGCTGTTTTATTTCGTCAGGTTCATCGACCAATTCAATGGATTGATTAATCAATGAAACACTGTTTACAAAATAATCATTAAACTTAGCTGAAATTATTTGTTCTGACTGTTCTAATGTGCCATTAAAAGTTATGGACCGCGGTTTGCAATTACTAGGTTTTAATAAAGATTTCAAAATTTTCCGTAGCTCTTTGCTGTTGTTTTGATGCTATCAATCTTCCTTTGAACATATTGTGAATACTTATTACGCGCGATTGTGTACCTATTCCAATGATTATCATTATTTGATCTACAAAACTTTTTGTACCATTTGTCCCTTTTCCGTTTAAATCGCAAAAGATCCAAATTGTACCAGCTGTTCGAGTTCTTCAAAGAAACAAACTTTTGCTCAACTAGTTGATTAGTACACGTTTTCAAAGCGTTATTAAGAACAGTTTTAGATTCATCTAAGTTACCGGCCGCGAATGGAAAATCCACGCTCCTCTCAACAAGATTCGAAACAGCTTGCTTCGAATATTTCCTCCAGCACTTCAATTTTACAAAATTATCGTTATCGTTAACATGATCTAAGACATTAATCACTAAGGTCTCATGATCGGTTATTTTCAAATCAGTATCCGTAACTGAACAAATGGAATCAAAATTGGAATAAACGTGGTCAATTAAAGTTCTACTGTGCCTGGAAATACGCGTATACTCATTTACCGTTTGCTTTAAATTAAAAAACTCAGCTAAACGCTTCAAATGATTCGAATTATGGTTATCACGCCAATTAATATTAAAATCACCAGCCAATATATTTAATTTACTAGAATCAAGGAATGTCTTGAGCCAGTTCTCTAAAACTTCAACAAAACGCTGGTCACTAGAACTGGGAGAATGATACATAACACCATAATTACCCATCTTCATGCCACGTACAACTGTAATGCCCAAGAACCAGTTGCCATCAATAACTTCGTTGGTACGAAGCTTGAATTGAACTGATTCTTTGACATAAATAGCAACACCGCCAGTGTGTCTAGAATGTGATAAACAAGCAGCAACAATATATCCCGGAATACTATACTGATCAAAAGCTTCAGTTTCTACAATATGAGTTTCAGATAAGAAAACTAAAAGAGCACGTTTTTCCTCAACAATCTGACGTAATGCTACGTAGTTTGTTGACAACCCCGCAATATTCAAATATAAAAAAATCGAATTGATTCACATTCCTGGAACTTGGCTGCTATTTATTGAAACGCAAACTGCTTTTCTTCTGATCAAAAAGTCTTTTATAGAGCAAACATTCCGAGCTAAATGCGGCATGGTTGACGTCCAAGTTCATTTTTCGTTCTTTATTCGTTTTCAAACAATTAATACATTTCAATACAGTTGACGTACACTCCGACGTTTTGTGTTGTTGGCTGCACCTAGAGCATCTATCACAATTTTTGCAATCCATGCTCTTGTGCCCAAATTCTCCACATTTGAAGCATCTCAACACATTAATCGCGGGAACTATCGAGCGAACCATATCACAATAAACACGCAGTGTAAACAATACATGCTGAGGCCATCTCACCCAAAATTTCATTAAAATTAACCCAAAGGGCAAAATGTTACAGTTTTTTTTAAAGTGATGCAATTTAACTGTGCACACCCTTTATTAATCATCTATAATATCTATACAATATATGTGGTCGCTTTCGGTCGAATACGTGTTCTTTATTTGGCCCAATCCAAATTCGGTTGATATTCGGCCAGAATATTCGGTACATCTCTAGATTTTAAATCCTAATAGTACTTGTAGCTTCCATGTGCTAGTGACTTAGTGTTATTTAAGCTCATTCACTTTGGGACCATTGCGCATGATCTGGAACATTTTTAAGGGTAGGAAGGAAAGGGTGCAGAAAATGGTATCGATACTTTGAGCAAACATTTATATACGCCATTTGCATTAGGGAATGTCCATAAATTGCGTAGACACTTTAAGCACTTTAAGAGGGAGAGGGCGGTGTTGATAAGTGTGTATGGCTCATATTTTATTATAATAGTGGCCATTTTTGTTTGTTATTTGCACCCCTTTCCTTCTGACCCCCTCATTTGGAATTGTGTCAACATAGACCGTGGGAGTCACGAGATGGTATTTCGATTTCGCTTTCGGTAGATGTGAAACAATTTTACTTTTTTTTCTTCTCGATACCATGTTGCGATATTAAAAACAATCCAAATAAATTACCTATGCGTTCTAAATTCATCAAAACAAAACTAATCAATCTCCTATTCTGAAACTTGCAGGTAACCAATAGCCTAGCCCTAGGCGGAGAACTGGCATACCAGTACGGTCCAGCAGTCCCCGGAGGTCAAATAGCAATCATGTCTGCTGCCGCTCGGTACGCAACGGAAGTAGGCACCTGGTCTGGAACGATTGGTCTCGCCGGAGTTCATCTCTGCTACTACCAGAAAGCCAGCGACCAGCTTCAACTCGGTGTCGAGGTTGAAACTAATCTTCGAATGCAGGAAGCGGTGGCAACCATGGGCTACCAAATCGATCTGCCAAAGTCAGAGCTCGTATTCCGCGGCATGGTCGACACCAACTGGACAGTGGCCGCTGTCCTAGAGAAGAAATTGCAACCGCTGCCATTCACGTTTGCACTTAGTGGCATTTTGAATCATACCAAGAATCAATTCCGGTTGGGCTGCGGACTGATTATTGGTTAAAAAAACACATTCGTTAGGCATTTTAAGCAGAGTTCAAAAAACCCCACAGTTCGAAGTGCAAGTATCAACGCATTTCTTCTTGAGTGACATTCGTAGAGAGTTAGTGTCTCTGGGAAGACGTAAAACAATGTTAGTCTGTTAGAGCATAAAAAAAGAGAAAAGATATAAATACAGAACAATAGCAGATACAAGAAAATGACAAAGATCTATCTGAAATAAACAAAAAAAATATATATGCGCTTGAAAAACAGATGTTTGATTTGTCTAGCTTCCCGTATCGTTACACATGACCATGATCCTCGAAGCACTAATGTTTTTAGCCAACAGTCACTAAATTAAGTTGCGCTTAATCTTATGGTTCCTTTTACAAAACAATAAAATGGTTCAGCAAACATTATTCCATTTGTGTTCAAGGTATGGAACGGAAAGAAACCACCTTTTAACTTTATATAATAGTAGTGACTTTAGTGACTAAATAATGATAATAGGGAACAAATAGTGCCTGTCAAACATAATCAGAAGTTGTTGATTGCGACTCACTTCGAGAAATTTTAAAAACCCGATCCATCAAAAAAAATAATGCTTCTTTAACCCTTATAACCGAGCGAACCAAGCATGTTATCTACTCGTAAATAAAAGATAAAGTTCACATGGTGTAATGATCAAAAACATTTTAATAAAATTTATATGAAAACGTTAGGTATTTATTTTTTTCTAAAATGTTCAAGGGATGTATTCTTCTCGAGCATGTATCAAATTCCTGAAATTTTGACTACAGTTTGAACGAATATTGAAGGTTTATCTCTACACTTTCGGGCTTGATCGATTGGGTTCAGTGCTGGTACGAGTGCTGGTTTTTAACATTTTTCCTTAACATCGAAAACAAACAAAAAATAAACTCCTGCCCCATAAAACATGTTATGACTTTCTGAAAGCAATAAACCTCAACAGCAAAATCATCCGCACCGGTGCAAAACAAATAAATCTAGCGTTCAGAATTATGAGGGCCCAACTGACATTTTGGCAGGAAATTAGATTTCAGTGTTATTGAGTTGAGAACTATTTCTTTTACTATCCTGTAAACTATAATTACTATAAAAAAACAATCTGGAAGTACGTTTTTTGCAAAAATTAAAAAGGACCTAACTACAGTTTTGAAAATCAAAAAAAGGTAGGGCATTCTAAAGATTCTAAGTAAAAGTATGAACATGTGTCAAAAGTTGTTCCAATCCGCAGTCCGCAATCCCAGCTTTTTTTCTAAAATCGAGGACTACCATCTTGGATTCCAAAATGGTGACGGATATCGATTTCCGGTAGAGGCAGTCGTCCCCGTTCTAAAAAATACCCAAAATATTATTAGGTATACAGGAAGCTCGCAAGCAAGGTTGCTTCCACTCACTTGCTATAAAAAAAGTTTTTCGGAATTATAAATTCATTAGATGTTATTATGATGTTTTGTGCCTGAAATGCCGCGCATACACTGGGAGTACTACAAAAGGCCGAATCGCAAAAGGCCGAATCACAGAAGGCCGAATCACAAAAGGCCGAAATACACAAAAGGCCGAAAAAACTCGGAAAAGCGACAAAGTCGCTTTTCCGAGTTTTTTCGGCTTTTTGGCAATTTGTTTTTAATAAATTAGATTTCATTTTTAAAGTAAAGTTACAATAATTATTCTGCATCTTCGATTTAAAATATAATGGAAGCTACTTAATAGCCATTCGATTTCCGTAATGAAATTTAAAAAAAAAACTTAAAATTTGGGTAGTTTTATGTTTATGTTTGTTTGAGTGTGTAACGACGATTTAATGGCAAGATGGATTCGTTTTTTTGTGAATGCGGACCATTCAACGAGGTGACTCAGTTGTGCGAGCAGAAAAGCTACAGAATCTGAATGAGAGAAAAAGCGATAGGGCATGATTGCTTCCGCTCGGTGCTTTTCATTATTTTTTTTACTTTGGCAGCGAGGATTTTGAATCGAAAACATCACGTTTCTTTGATTTGATCGAAATTTGGGTTGGTGTTAGAAAGAAAATGAGTGCGATTGAAGAAGAGTTCAATGGGTTTTCCGATGAAGAAGTTGTGCCAGTAGTGAAAGTGGTTATTTCCCAAAAAGGAAAGCAGATGCTGAGTGTCAATGGATTTCTGTACAACGTTTGTTTGTTTGTTTATCAAAACATTATTTTTAAATTAGGCTAAAGATCGCTTCTACTGGGACTGTGCCACCAGAAAACATGCCAAAAACAGTGACGAGGCCTGCAAAAGTCGTGCGATTACAAGATTACAAAATGGCGTCCACATTTTAGTTGTGCATAAGGAAGTGCATAATCATGATGTTAACCCTTCACGGAGAACAAATTATAGCATACGCAATTATTTTTCCGGTCAAAATAACTATATTGTTCAATTGTTTTAGAGATAACCCGAAACTATAGTTGATTTGACTATATATATAGGGCAACAACTTTAGTACATAGTTGGCTCCTCGGTTGGCTCAACTATATTTTTCAGTAGATTAACAAACGTCAAACTTCAAAATACAACTATGCTTTAGTTGATTCAAGAAAACTATTGTTAGAAAAGCAAAATTTTTCAATGAACTGCTCTTCATTATCGACATATTAAGGAAGTTTGTTTTGCTTCTTTATCTATCTCAAAAACACAACTGCAAAATCACAGACAAACAGACATAAATCATTGAATATGTCTCACTGTAAAACACCGTCGCTAAAACATTACCGCCATCTGTTGAGTACCCTGTGGTGGGTAGTACGCTGAACAGATGGCGGTAGTGTGTAAACGTCAAACTCAAGGGAAATGACTATGTGCGCCACAGGTGGCGGTACTACCAACTAGGATGCTTTTAAATTGACCGTTAAATGCTTGTTCGATGAACAACTTGCGAGTGTTATGTCTGTTTGTCTGTGGCAAAATCATAAAAAAGTGAACAAGAACATTCAACTTAGATTTGAACCGTGTTCATCTGCGTGAGAGCCAGCTATCTTATCGCCTGCTCTACGCATCACAAGTTAAAAGTATGTGGATTTATGATGATCACTTGAAACCAAATTATATAAATAAATTACATTTGACGGTTGTTATAATTGATCAAAGCTATAGTTGAATTGAGTATAAGATGAACAGTTGAATCTACTAGGTAGATATGATTGAGTTGACGGACAAATTAATGTTGGAAAAACTATAGGTTTCTTTCAAACAACAATATTTTTCCATGTGAAAGTAACTATTAGGATTGTTATCTTAACTTAACGAATTTGTTCTCCGTGTTTTGGACGGGATGGAGAAAAATTACAAAGCTGAACTTAAACGGAAAGCTCTAGAATCGAAGGAAGTTCCTTCGGAAATAATCCGTGAAGTTTCTACCCAATACGCAAACCCGAGCATCAAACAAATCGCAAAAATTGTTGATTCTGAGGCAAAGGCAAGCAAGTGGTGGTGGACTACGTGTGATTGAACAGGATGGTGAATTTATCGTTCCAGAGGAACTTAAGAAAACGCTGGATGGTCAGCTTTTCTTGCATAAATACATCCGCAACGAAAGTACACATATTATGATTTTTACAACCTTACCAAACCTTCAGCGCTTGGCTGCCTCCCGGTTTTGGCTGGTTGATGGTACATTCGCAACCGTTCCTCTGGAATTCACACAAATGTACTCTATCAACGGATCCATTCCATATCAGAATCACGACGCAGTTGTATTCATGCAGAACATGCAGGGGTGAGTGAAATAGCTTGGGACTGCTTGGGACCGTTGTTCTGGTACTGAGTGAGCCAAAAATAATAATGATTTTCTTCGGGACCCAGTAGTCTTAGAGTTACCTCTATGGTTGTACCAACCGGTGGAAACTAAAGATTTTAAATTGGCTCACTACTTGACTAGCCTATTGGTCCCAAGCAAATCGATTAACGTACCCGTCGAAATTCTAGTACAAAACTATGTTTGTTTTGATTCGCTATGAAAGTTTGGCAGATAAAATGAGGGGTTCGTGGATTTTCCTATGTTTCGAGCGGTGCATCGATTAACTTGGAACCGAAGACAGTACCAGAGCTGAGCCAAAAAGTTGAGAACTTTTCTTCGGGACCTTCTGGTCTTAGAGTTACCTCTATGGTTGTACCCCTTGTATTTATGCTTCTGAAAAACAAAACACAAGAGACTTACACATGCGCATTTGAAGCATTACTGGAAGTATGTCAGGAAGCACAGATTGAACTACGTCCGAAGTTCATCATCTCTGATTTTGAGAAAGCAGTTATTAATGTAATGAAGGATATCTTTCCGGATGCAGAATGTTATTTGTGCTACTTTCACTTTGCACAAAATTTAATCAAACAGCTGAACTTCCGGGCACTGAAAACTATGTATTCCAATGATATGGATGTATACATGGCTATTAAACGCCTACAGGTTAGTATTAAGTAATCGCTGGGTGAATGCAGATTATTGTTTTTGTTTTTTAGGCACTATCATTTCTACCGTTTTCAAGAATTGCAGGAGCATTCGAGTGCATCAAGGCCAATATGCCGGTAAAACTAGCTGGCTTCCTTGAATATTTCAATGTTACATACGTTTCAGGACGAAACAGCAACAATAGGCCGATGTTTCATCCTGCCCTCTGGTCGAATCACAAAGTGGTGAAGGAGCAACTGCCTTTAACGACCAATTCACTCGAAGCTTGGCATAGGCGCTGGACAGAGGTTGTTGGATGCAACCATTTATCATTTACCAGAATAATCCTGGAATTGCGAACCGAGCAGCAGGCAATTGAAGGACGGATTCTGCGCATATTGCAAGGCGACGTTCAACAAGGATCACGAAACCATCTGGAAAAGATCAAAGAAATATGCTTGAAAAGTGACGATATCACCGATGTAAACTTTGTTGACAGCGTTGCTCTTTTGTTGTCGTCAAAACAAAAAAGGACTTAAGCAACATTTTTTTTTATTATTGATTTCAGGAACTGCGATGCAACTTTGATAAAAATACGTTTTTCATTCGTAACATTTCATTTTTGATATGCAATAAGAAGGACAAAAATGTTCCAATGTTTTAATATTATTCTTTGACTATAAATTTCAAAGATTTAGTATTTTTGTCAAGATTACAATAAAACATTATTCATGAAAAAAAAAAATTTTTTTTTTGGGTATTAAAAACTATTCCAAGACGCTGCATCTTTTTCACAGCCATTGTAAACAGTATGTCTAGGGGTTTAAATTAAATTGATATTTCTATTCATTCTGAAACGAAACATAAAGTGCAATAACATTAACAGATTGTTTGGATGCGGTTTTCAATAAATTCAGTTTTTGATCAATTTTCGGCCATTTTGGTTTTCGGCCTTTCTGGCTTTCGGCCTTTTCTATTTTCGGCCTTTTGTGGTACCTTAGAACATTTTCGGCCTTTTGTGTTTCGGCCTTTTGTGCTTCGGCCTTTTGTGATTCGGCCTTCTGTACGGGTCCCCATACACTTGTATGCGCAAACCATGAACATGAGCATTATTTGTATAACAAAATAATGAGCACATCCATGGTCACACTTGTATAGTTTTTGATAGTTGTTGTATAGTGCTCACAATTATTATACAATTGCTAATGCTCATAGTTTGTCATCGAAGTGTATCCGCGGCATAACTTAAAAGAAGAGGTTGTAAAGTATGTGTTTGCCACATGCAGGCATGGAAAATCATTTACATTCATTTCATGCATTCATTTACATTGATTTGTTTCTAACTTTTCAGGCCTATTCTGCGCGGCGTGTGAGGTGAGGTGCCACGCTCTCACTTGTGAAGTGACAATTGTCACCTCGGGTGTGGTGACTCTCCGTGCAAATCAAATGGAGAGTCACCTCACCCGAGGTGACATTTATCACTTCACCATCACTTCACTGTCACTTCACCTCACACGCCGCGCAGAATAGCCCTGTTTGTCATAAATAGCATTCCGTGAAATGATGTGTGGAACTTTAGTAGGTTTTGTTATTAGCTGCAACTTTTGCCCATAACTCAAATCTGTATCTCTTATGCATCACGAATTAGAGCGGGCAGAACGAGGGGGACGACTCTATCTACGATGCAAAAAAGTGTTTTGCTGTGGCTAGCTGCACGCACGCTGAGTAGATTGAAAGAAGATTGATGACGATTCATAAGATTTCCTGCAAAAAGTGATGCAAGTAGATGCGACAAATGAAAGAAGATTTTTCGAAGATTGATTCGCTACTGTGAGATTTGTTGAGCATCTAAACTTGAGAATTAGATGTGTCGCCCCCCTCGGGGCAGAACTTGTTACTGTTTTTCAGTGAATGTAAAATACATTCACTAAAAAACAGTAGTGGATTCTGTTCGCTCTGGTTCGTCATGCATAAGAGATATGGATTTGAGTTGTTATCAAAAGTTGTAGTTAATAACAAAACCTACAAAAGCTTTATACATTATTTTGCGGAATTCTTTTGATAAAAAAAGTTAGGGGCAAATGAATGTAAATGAATGCACGAAATGAATGCAAATGATTTTCCATGCCTGGCCACATGTAACCTGTCAATTTCGCTTTCAGAATGTCACAATCAGCGATTTTATGATTCGTGAGCGTTCACTCAGAGTGAGCGCTCGCAAGTCGTGAAATCGCTGATTGTGACATTCTGAAAGCGAAATTGACAGGTTACATGTGGCAAACACTTGCCTTTTAACCTCTTTTTGTATCTAACAAGTAAAAAATATCATCTAATGATTCCAAAATTCCGAAAATCATTTTTTATAGCAAATGAGTGGAAGCAAGTCTGCTTGCAAGTACACTAGCACCAACAATCAATTCGAAACTAACGAGGGGTGCGTTGATTTTCCTTTGTTTTGAGGGGTGCATCGATTAGCTTGGGACCGAAGATAGTACGTTTCTTTGGGACCTTCTGGTCTTACAGTTACCTCCATGCTAGCACCGCGTAGTGAGAAAATTATGAAACTGTCTATTTACCATCCGCTCATAGGCACCAACTTAGGGGGTGGATAGTAGGTTGGCAAGGCACTTTTGCCTCCCCAATAATTTTCAGATTCTTATATAAATTCAGTGGCGCCAACTTGAGTTGAACATTGGGGGGACAAAATCAATTTTTACGTGTAGTTTACATGAAAATCTGAAAATTATTAGGGTGCAAAGTGCTTTATCCCCTCCCCCTTTAGTTGACAACTATGCATCCGTTAGACCTTGTTCATCACAATAAAATTCTCGAACACAGATGGTTTGAATTTCAAGATACAGTTTATACATCTAGTAAACATGCAAACTACCACCACGTAGTGATAAAATTGAAAAAAGGCATTGGACACCTGTATAACTTTCCAGAAGACAGCAACTTTGTAGATAATCAATATCTCACAATAAATCTTATACACCTACATGTACGCTAGTGCCTCATAGTGGAATAATTCTGAACTAATTGTCCACCATCCAACAAAAATGTCCACCATCCGAAATGTCTTGGCCTCAAGAACATCTTTGTCGAAGACGCAAACTTCTTAGATTGTCGCCAGAGATGAACCAACCAATGGCTGAAAGTCTCTTTAATAAAGAAAGATAAGATCTTAGATTGTCAGGATCTCGAGATACAGCTTATACAGGAAGCTCACATGTACACTAGCGCCACGTAGTGAGAAAATTCTGATCTAATCCCAACATCCGGAAGGTCTTGACCTACTGAATAATTTTCCCGCAGATAGTGACCTTCTATATGGATATTTCACGTCGGAATCAATGTAGTGAAATTCTATATGGACATGTATCACTTTTCCTCGCAACGAAATGGCCATTGTAAGATGTAGAGGGATTTACGTATTCTCGTTAATCTAAGTAGTGCCGGGCCTCCATTAGAAATTTCTCAGCGCATATATAACGTGTTTATTTATATTTATCTGCTGCATGCTATTCTATCTATTCCAATCCAAAGAATTGCCCAAAACGGTTTCAAACCGTTTTTATAACGCTCCAAACTTCTCAGGTGAGTGTGACTATTGTCGACAGCCTCTGTTTCTTCGGCAACCCTTGTATTCTGATGACGTTTCTGCAAAAAACCTAAGTTGTTAAAAATGGCTTATGTTCCACTTTCGCTCGCAACGGTTCATATGAGAGAAACCATTGTAAAAGGTTACCGCTAACCCCAAGCCTTTGTAACTTGTCAATCGCAATCGCATGATTCAACTTAGGGTTGATGCATATATTATGTCACGCTCTAGGGGGGAGGGGTCTAAGATTTTGTGACAAGCAATGGATTAGGTATAGGAAAAACGTCATGATAGGGGGGCGGGCGGTTGGGTAAATTTCTCCTCGATTTAGCGTGACATAATTAATGCATGGGCCCTTATCGGAGGCTGGTTACAAGTCGGTGTAAATATTATGTCTGACAAGTCGCACTAAATTTTGATGTAATTAATTTGAGATCCATACAGACCAAATCATTAAAATCGCGTAAAAATAGAATAGAAATTTCTACAGAAAATGATTTCTGTTTGTCACAGCTTTGTTGTTTTCTAAGTGTTTATTAATGGTGGCGCAGTTTGAAATTGAAAGTCTGGGATACACATCGTATCAGGATGAAAGATTTATTACTTTCTATATACCTTACAATGTTACTTGTATTTGTTTTTGTGACATCTTTCACTTTTCGAAATTACAATACTCAAGGTTCAACATCGACATTTGCTTAGTTATCTTCTCTTCGAAACGAAGTCACTTCTCTTGTGAGGGCACACGTACTGCCTCTCATGATCAGAAATTTCTTTGGCGACCACGTTTATTTCCAATGAAATTAAGTCTTCTTCTTCTGAAATCCATTATTGGATTGATTCATTGCTTTCATAAGTACAAATTCTTAAGTTTATTGTAACTCCTGAATGCCAGCATATTTTTGTTCTCCTACGGTTATGTATTGATCATTTCCAAAAATGAGAGATGGTTTTTTTTTCTCCAAGCATAAGCAAACAATTTTCCAAGCACTCTTCTTTTGTCCACCTAGCTCAATCAGATCAAAGTGACCAAAGCTTCGCGTGGCTTCGTTTTACAGAAGTTTTCACAAAAACGCACTTCAGCTCTGAGAACAACTTTTTTTTGGGTTCCATGGAAAATGCCTTCTTAGCATGTTTATTTTTTTGGTTTTGTTTGTTTTTTTTTGTTTCATCTTTTTCCACTTGACCTCTTTTTTATTTAATTGTAAGTATCACCCTTAATATAAGTAATCAATAATTCTAATATAAATTTTACGTTTCCTGCTCGACTACGGATGTTCACGGGCACTCAATGTTCTACACATTTATTATCGGTAAGCATTTTTTAAATACTTTTTGTTTGTATGTGTACGAGTTGATCTATGCTTAAGTATTAGTGGAACCTACTTCGCTCTTTCTAATAAGCTGCTAATAATAGAAAATGAGAAATCATAATTTTAAATAAAAATGAGAAATTCGATTTGTTACGCTCTAAATTGGTATTGGGAAGCAACGCACGTGCTGCTGGATTTTGCATCTTGAACGAAGAATACATCTCAATGCGGGAAAGAAAAATAACGGGATGGCTTCGGATTCTGCGTTCTCTTAACACACATCACGTCCTATAAGGATTATCTAGGAGTGTCTACACGTTAGAGCACTAATAAGCCAACATTTAATTCAACATTTCGATTTCGATCGAGTTCACATGTTTAACACATTTATTAACATTTTTCTGTTGCAGTATCACTACCGCCCACACGGTACGTCTAGAACGTCGACGATGGGTGGACATCAATGTTATTTTCTACCGGATTTCATTTGATGAAATTGGACACAGTAAAAATTAAACCAGCGTTTTTCGGTCTACTGCTAGTGGGTGGTTTAGCGAAAAGCTACGCAGCGGTGAGTGAATTAAATAAAAATGAAATTGAAAATAGTTAAAATTGGCAACACAGCATAAAACATGTAAGCAAAACAGTGGAAAAAGCCATGATTGATTTTTAGATCCAGATGATTTTAAGCAAAAGTGAGCGTTTGCATTCGGTTGCACAAAATTGACAGCGTATTTTACTGATTGAGTCGAAACAAGTGCAGTTCATTTGATTGTTTTTGTTGTTTTGTTCAACATCGATTTTATTTTGTTCTAATTTTGTGGTTGTCACTTGTTTTATTGAGATTTACACTTAAAAATAATTATTGTGTTTATCATTGTAACTATTCTCAATTATACTTAATCATCGAGATAAACTATATTTATTTCCATAAGCTCCATCAAAATGAAGTACAACTAAAAGCATTGTTTGTTCCATAAAAGGAAACCAGGACAAAAAAAACATCAAGTTTTTCATTTAGTACTTTACAAAAAATAACCTTACAAAATCTTTATTCTTCAGACTGTTATGCGTTTCCTTCTAAAACAAATTATAAATAAAACTTTTACAAAACTCATTCACCCATAAAACGCTCTCAAAACTCTGACGTGAAACGAAATCCATAATAGGATCTAAGACAATTATCCAACCAAATAACAACTGTGTTGAAGAAGCAGTTTCCTTCCTAGACGTTATTTTCTGTTCCCCAAGTATTCTCGTCGTTTCACAGCACCATGGCGCACAGTGCGTACATGAAGCCTGCACTGAGCAGACCAGCCACCGGTACGGTTACAACCCAGGCGTACACTATATTCCGGAAGAGACCCCAGTCAACGGCTTTCTGTTGCCCTGTGGCATAGTGATGGTGCTCGTGCGGATTTCGCAGCTTCATCTCCTTTTCCTCGTCCGGTGAGAGCTTCTTTGGTGCACTGGCCTGCCCGACAAACACAACCGACCCGACCTTACAGTGGGTGGTGGAGATCGGAAGACCGATTTTGGACGCCAACAGCACCGTAAAGGCGGCACCGATTTCGATGGTGAAGCCACTAGAAATAAAAAGAGAATATTAGTACTGTTGAACAGTTGGAAGCTTTTCATTGTTTAGATAAAATGTTAGATTTCAATAAACGCTAATCAGATGTCTCTAGCCATTGCGACGATGCACTTTATGCAGAAATAAAATGATCATAGCCATCGACATTAAAGTTAAAACCCTGAATTAATTCACCTATGGTGAGACCTGACCCTTCTTAGTAATAGAAATTCAGACAAAATTGCTCATATGATGACTCCTCATGTGATTTGAGGTATCGCATGATGGATTTTGAACCAAGTTAGACACTGGCCATTTCTTCAAAAATACCCCGAACATGTCCGAATGTGGCCAGTGTGGAGCTGGGCTCTCCAAATGACTACCATTGAACTGGTTCTAGAATTCTGATATGATTTGAGGTATCGCATGATAGATTTTGACACTAGTCAGAAACTGGCCACTACCCCGGGGGTACCCGGAACATGGTCAGATGGGACCAGACTCGTCCTGGGCACTTCAAAAGACTATCATTGAATTGGTTATTGAATTCTCATGTCATTTGATTTGTCACATGATGGGTTTTATTCGTTTCAGGTCGGATTCAGTTTCATAAAAACCGGAAAATGTACGAAAAATATTGAAAATAATTCTATGGGATCATAATACCTTTCATTTAGACGTGTTTGTGTCCAATTCGGTTCAGTTGTTACTGAGAAACACGACTTATTTGTTTTCTCTTTATTTAGGAGATTCTCAGCGGTAGGCGGGTTCATCTCCGAAAGCCCCTAGGGGGGAGGACCCTAGTAACGTAGTTTAGAATTTTTCGGAACCCTGAGGGGGTTCTCCTGGGAATAGGTGTGCTTAGGGTGTTCCCTTGGTACATGTTGTTTTTACAGAGTTGGTTAACGTTTGTGTTTCGTGGTTGTTCAGCGTGATTGGCGGTTCATAAAAGGGATGGCAGTCGTCGTTGTAAAGGGTAATCAGATAATCGTTGTGTGGTATCCAGTCTAAAGTCAATCGGGTCCGGGTGCGGTGCGTTATTTTGTATAGGGGGTCGGTGATTAACTTGTATCGAACAATCCAGCATTCTTAAGAAAGGTTATTAGAGCAGCTTCCGTGGATGGGTCGTTAGACAGAGCATTACGTATGCAGGGTGTCAATTCAAATTCCATTTTTCAATTCCCGGTTTTTTCCCGGTTATTTAAAAAAATCTCTACCTTAAACACAAAAAAGGCGTTCAAAAATAAACCTTTAGATATAGGGCCTTATTACGGGTGTCACTACACGGTGATAAGGAAGTGATACTCAGAATAAGAGACGTGATTGCCATGCAAATCAAATGGGAATCACTTCACCGTGACGACAAGTGACAAGTTTTCACCGTGAAGTGACATCAGTAATAAGCCCCATAATGATACCAATTTTGTCAGTAGAATTCCTCTACAACATGCAGGACTGGTAGTGGTTATACAATAGTATTGACTACAATAATGAAAAAAGTGACCAAATAGTGACTTTAAAACAATAAAAAAGTGACCAATAGAAACATTTATTGATCGATACGATATTAAAGATATGAATCTAATCTGTCGTTGAATGCGATCCACTTTGACACATATTATAAATTCCCAAGCCACCATGAGCATTTTAAAGCTTTTTTTTGATAAAACAAATGGTTGAAGGATCTTATAAATTTGTTTTCGTAAAATCAGTATTAATTGGATAATTTTTTTTTTTTTGTTAATTTGTAACCTCACACAGTAATCATTTTTCTGCCACGATTTATTGGAAACCAACCGATGAATAAGTTGAATTTAGATTCAGATCGCGAATTAGTTGAATTTCGGGATGTAAAAGATTAAACATAGAAATTTAATAGGAAATCTTGAAATTAAAAAAAAAATGAGTCGCAAGAAAATCGTTCAACGTCTTGGACAAATTCGTCAATTTTAAGACAAGCAATTTTAAAGGTCTCTAATATAGATCAAACATAGACAAATTTTCATATCTCTGGAACCTAGACAAGTGTTCTGGATCGTATCAATAATTATCATTATTCTGGAATGAGGAAATTTTTCGAGAAAAATCTCGATTTTCAAAAAAGTTGTAAGAGTACATTTTAGAGTACTTAGTACTTAGTAATTCGTTATCTTTAATTCAAACCATTTAAGAAAGCGTAGAATAATTAACGATATGTAAGAATGAAAGTTCACAGTCCGAGAAACATTTAATGATTCTAAAATATAGAAAATATTTCATGATTTTAAACTAGAGTTTATCTAAAATCTGGAATTGGAAATTTGCTGATTCCGGACTTTTCGGGGTTTTTCCAGTTGTCTAACCTAGTTTTCCCAGTATATTTGAAACAGTTAAATATAGAAGATGCATCTTCTTATCTAATCTTGGTATCTGGTTAGCACAAAGTGCAGAAATTAATGGTTAATTTATCTATATGTCCACTGTCGAAAATTTGCATGCCAAGCATATTGGAGTTTCCAAGGAGTTTGAGACGGCATGAATCTGATTCTCTATCTTGAAGTAGCTACGTAACAGGATATGTCTCGCTCAGCCTTTATACTAGAACTACTTCACTAGGAAAACTGTTGCAAAAGAATTCAAGCAATATATTCAATCAACCATATGAAATTCTATAAATTTAGCTATTGTAGTAGGAATAACGACAAAATCACCGCTTGATCCGGGCGCGAACAAATTGCGAGTGAGAGAAAATAATAATATGAAAGTTGTAAGCAAGAGAATATAATGATGTATGTGTTATAAGTAACATTACAAGTTTAAAAGTTTAAAGGATGCTTCAAGACCAAATAATGGCTTACAAAACTAATATAAAATTAAAAAAAAATACTTAGGATGAGTATATATGATCTTTCCCGGTGCAATTTAGGTTTTCCCGCATTTTTCCCGGTTTTTTCCCGGTTAATCCGAATTCCCGTTTTTTCTCGGATTTCATGGTTTTCCCGGTTGGATACACACCCTGGCCGTATGTTGTCCGGAATTCCGTTGTGGACCCGGAAGTTATGGAAGCAGGGGCAGTTGACGATCAGGTGTTCGACATTCATTATAGTGTTGCAGGCGTCGCACCACTTCTGAAAAGATATAGCGCTGCCCATATTATAGGTTACTCGGGTGTGTCCAGATCGGAGCCAAGATAGGACCTGTTGTTCCCGTCGACTCGTAGTGTCCTTCCATTTGAAGATGTCGTCCTTTATTTTCCTTAAGAAAGGTCCCCTTTTCGTAACCCACTCTTGGTACCAAGCGTCTCGAAGGGTTTTTTTTTTTCACTCATGTTTTTATGTCTGAACTGGGAGCAGGTGTGGTAGTCATCCGGCCGGTGCGCCCAGTGGCGGCGAGATGGTCCGCTTCGCAGTTACCGCGTATACCACAATGGCCGGGTACCCATACAAATGAGGTGTTCGGTGGTGCGGTCTTTTGTGCTCCTTGGATCCAGGGATGTTTTGATGTTGCTGAATTTAAGGCACATAAAACGCTGGCAGAATCTGTTAGAACGCAAATGGGTTTATCGGAGGGCGTAGTGATGGCTAAGTAGATGGCCGCGGCCTCCACCGAGTAGACGGAGCATTGATCGGGAAGTCGAAAGAATAAACTGTTGAACGTATCTGCTACTCCGTATCCTACTTTTCCCGCAGCCTTGGAGCGGTCCGTGAAGCGGTGTTGAAAATTGGCATACTTAGTTCTGAGTAGCTCCGCTAGGTGGCATAGCGTGAGAGTTGTTCCCTGCCTTAAAGTGCTTGGCAATCGAAAGGTCAACGTGTAGGGTTGGCTCTGTCCATGCTCTGACTCCGATCCAGTGTAACCAGGACACGGGTGTATTTGTTTATAGCACCTCCAATAGTTCAAATTTAGTTCAGCTTTTTAGAATGCTGGGCTAAGGTTTTAAGAATACAAGACTACGAATGTTTTCAGGATCAGGTCATTCAAGTGAGAAAATATTTTGTATTAGGGAAAAAAAATCGTCGCTATTAAAGGCAGCGTCTATTCAATAGCGTTCCCTGCTCAGCCAATAAAGGGAAAGGGATCTCGCAATAAACATAACGCTTTGCCGTTTCAAAATTTCGCTCAAACATTTTGCCAGCCTTATAAGGTGGGCAATGGCCAAATATCAATAAACATTTTGGTGTAAACGTTCAATACCTGGCCGAATAGAATTATTCGGTTCATCACTACTCTGGGTACATAATCTGGCGGATACAATAAATTTCCGGTTGTCAATTTGAGCTGTCACAAAGCGGAACCAAAAACCGCACGAAACCTAGACAAAAACAGCATAACACTTACGTCGAAGGGGTAATCTTTGTGAGATCATTGCCGATTGTCTCGATGACGCGACGTCCCCACAGCCATAGACCGACCGAGATGCCGACACCACCGTACAGCAAAATCGCTAGCGGAGTTTCAGACTTTTGCAGTACCGAGCCTTCCCGGTAGATCATGAAGAGAGCGATCAACGGACCGATTGCGTTGCTAAAAAAAATGCGAATTGATCAGCGGATCAGTTTTTGAAGAACTATATCAAACGACCTACCTCACATCGTTACCACCGTGAGCGAAGCTACCGAATGTTGCCGTAAGTACCTGTAGGAACGAGAACAACTCCGAAACGTCTTCGTTCTCTTCATTCATGGGATGTCGACTTTCTTCGGATCCTTCCTTGCCACCGATTAGTGGAACTTTACTCGAATTTGGCGACAGAGTCGAGCTAATCAGTGTGTGGTCCAGTCCAGCAGCGTTTTCAATTTTGCCCATGTCTTTCGTCAAATCATTTCTGGTACTGTTAAGAATGATGTTCGATGGAAGTGTGTAGTCTGCCATCGGAAGCGTGCTATCACTTTTGGGGCTGGCCGGCGATTTTCCATTTTGGACGATTGGAGATTGGTCTCTGTTAATAGGGAAAGAGATAGGTGTGAATATTTGATACTTTTGAGTTACTGATGTTAACGTCCTGCTTACTTTACACCAGTATTCATCGCAGCAGAATCATGTGACTTTGGGGAAAGATTACTACTGTTTCGGCGATCAAAGTACGAATTAAGCGCCATTCGCCCAGTTCCGTTCATCGTTGACTGGTACTCGTCGATGTAGTTGAGGCTCGTTATTGTTAGATCGGTGTTGTCTAGGCTGGCTTTGTTGGCGGCAAGAAGATTTTCTGCTTTCTGCACAATTTTGGGATCAATTTTGTACGGATTTGGGCTGGTTCCCTTGATGACACTCGGCGATAGATCAATGGACAGTTTCTTGATCAAGCCATTGTGCTGATGTTGCGACGAAAGTGATACCAGTTCAGTTGTTTCGGTGATGGCTGGAAGACCCTTTCCATCGCCAACCAACGAAAGAGGACGCTTCGGACGACGGGGACTTCCATTCGAGGATGAATCGCAATCTGAATCGCCCACGGTGAATTCCGTTCGTCTTTTCGTCTCTTGATTCAGAATCTTTCTCCTCTGCCATGGAACAATAAACAACTGAACCAGTATACCTACAAGTAAGCCTAACGATACGGACCCGACAATTGCTATCCAGGTAGGGATGTTATCCATGTATAGAACTGTAAAAGAATAGTTTTTTTTTAGTACTGTGCTTAGCGCAGAGGATATATCGATAGAAACTTACGCTTGGGCCCGTCATGTACAATACTGAACATGTTAACGGCAAGTGTCACGCCGTAAAAATATGGCAGAGCAAATAGCCCATTTTCCAGGGGATTTTTTGATTGCAGAATGAATTTCCTGATCATCCAGAATAGCAGAACACTCATCAAGCCGCTAAGTACCGGTGAAATGAACCACGATCCAACGATCGTACCAAGGGTGGACCATTTGAGACCCTGCATGCCACGGGCAACTAAACTGAACCCGATTGTCGAGCCAACGATACTGTGCGTACCAGAGATTGGCAGCTTGAAGAAGGTAGCCACCAGAAGCCAAAGGGCGGAACTAGCCAGTGCCGAAAGGCAACCGAGCATGAGTTCTATTTCCGTATCCTTGTACATTTCCACGTCTAGGATACCTTTCCGCATCGTATCCGATACTTTGTACCCTAAAAGAGAAGATTTGTGAATTAAAAAAAACCTTTTATTAATTAAGTAAATTAAGCCTACCTATCAAAACTGCTCCGGAGACTTCGCAGATGGTGGCCAACCAACAGGCCTGTCGAATCGTGAGGACACCGGATCCGACACTCGTACCGAACGAATTGGCGACATCATTCGCACCGATTCCAAACGCCAATACGAAGGCAATCACAAAGCCAAGTATTACCAGCCACAGGATTTCCGGCGAAAAAGGTTCCATTTTGATGCTTTCTTTTTCCGTAGATTTGGAACTGAGAGATTTGTGGTTTTATTCGGGATCAGGGGATAAGTGGAATCTTAACGAGATACGCCGATGTGAAAATAAATACTCGCTTTATGCAATAGAACACGTGGTAGGAGTATGAGATATAGAGCTTAAGTAGCTTGCTATCAAGTACCAAGGAGAGGTTTCAGAGCGATACCAACTTTCTTATTCTCTTCTTTAGGTTCCAACACGCCTTTGTTTTATCAATATGATCAATCTCAAACACGATACAATAGAGTGCACTCACGAAAACAAATGTGTAGTATCGTGTGTTTTCGTTTTTGTTTTTAACAAACCGAAGTACTTATGCTTAAGCACTACGCTAGCGAAGAGTACTCGTTAAAATTGTAATATTAAAATTATTAATTATTTATATTAATTCTTATGAGTGTACTTTTTATAATAATTAAATAAAAAAGTGGCTTTGCAAAAAAAGACAAACGATTATGAAAAACCGATGTAAAGTAACTGATATTGTACCTAAAAAACGTTAAAATTAGTAAATTCTATTGGTGACCTCCTCGAACACGGGGTGGACAAAGGCTTTACTAACTAGCGTTTTAATTTGACAATATCGGGTAAGCAGAGTTTTGTAAAAACAGCCATCGTTTCAGGGGGTTTAGGTTTGTTGAAGAAAAAAGCTGGTCAGCGTTCGCTTTCCTTTTCGGTTCAGAACTACGCGATTGGAGAAGGTTAAAAAGTTAAGGTACCTGATGTGAGAAACAACACGCGGACCTGGAGGAACCCCAGGCAGTTATGTGTGCGGGAGAGTTTCTACGATAAAAACTTCCCAAAACGAAAGCTAGGACTAGGGCAAACTATTCGTAGCTATACAATTTAGGTCGATAAAATTCCACAAAATCAAGGGTTAAGGAACTGATAAATCTCTCTCTCTCTCTCTCTCTCTCACGTCGATAAAATCGAAGTACAACTCTCTGCCGTGTATCAGCAGGCCAAGTCTGGTTGAAATCAAACGAAAATACTGAACCGCTACTCTTAAATCTTCAATCCAAAACCAAACTCGAGTAAGGTGTGTTGCTGTGGATGTCTTTACAAACGTTGCGTTGAATTACGGGCTCGAACCGGTCAAAGCGGTTGTTCCATATAACGTATCCTGGGCGAAATCGGACAGCTCGTGTCAGTAGTGGTTTTGATCATGTCTGCAATTAAAAAAAACAGAGAAAGAACGAGTTTTTTTAGCCTATTTTCATTAAGGAACTATTGTTTATAGTAAATTAATAAATGTAAAATATTTTAGCCAGAATAAATTTAAAAAATCCTCGTCAAAGTCATCAGAACTACAAACGGTATAGCAACCTCAGACTGGCGAAGACGAATCCAACAGACCCAAACGGACTGTCAAAATGTGGAGCCAAACGGACAACCGTTTCGATTGTGGAGAGTATCGACACTAAGCAATATTTAACAAAAAAAAATCAAAGATTTGTGTCCTATGTTTTCAAGGCTCTGGTAACAATAATGTTTATTTCAGTGTTGACAAAATCATCAATCAAATGATATTTTTACGCGCTCATACGCTCTCAACATCACGCGTGATATTGGAACAACATATCATGCTTGATATCGATTTTACAAGCTCCTTTGATATTGAGAGACTATTCACAACATGTAATAATTAAGCTGAGAGCTGACTCGACACAAAAATGTTTCTGTTGCACATCGTTTTCTTAGAATGATAAAATACACACTTAGATTATTTTATCTAAATCTGTGAAATTTTACCCAAATCTCAACAACTGAACGTTCGGTAAACAGTGCGGTGATTTTTGACAGATTTTCCGAACGTTCAGCTGTTGAGATTTCGGTAAAATTTCACAGATTTCGGGGAAATAACCTTAGTGCGTATAGTTTACTATCTCTCTTTACTCTTCACCGATGGCAGACACAAAGTTACAGCTGCCAGCAGTGACGGTGAAACTCAAACATACTACGGATAGATATGAATTTTAGCTGGTGAGTTTTGTTAGCTTGATTTTTGATAGCTACGAATTAACAGCTTGTAATATCATCCGATGTAAGATCTACCACCGATTCCTAGTCCTGACTACTTCAAACTAGGGGATCAGGATTTTTTCAGAAATCAAAGGACACCATCTTAGTCCTTGTTACTTTTTATCCCTTGTTGATAGTGACAAGACTCGGCATTGTCCACCGAGGATGATCTTGAAACAAGGAAAAAATGAGTTTGACAACTGTAAAAACGAGAATGACAGCTGTAAAAAAAATCGAATACTTCATCATTTCTCAATAGTTATGGAGTAATACGGCATGCACTAAACTAAGGGCAAGGGATATACTACAATAGATCAAATTACTGATTGGTATTTCTGGCTTCACCCTATAGAGATCTCCTAGCACAATCTCATGAACACTAAAATGAAACGTTGATATATAAAAAAATAGGAAGAAAAAGAATAAGCATGAAGAAGAACCAAGAAGACACCCGAGATATCATAACTACTTAAAAAGGATTCCTGTGGTCGATTTTGAAACAACCATTGAAACATCTATTTTCCATGACGAATTTCACGCTAACTCGACAAATGGTTGGCAGCACCCTCTCAGATGTCAATGAAACTTTGTAAGTGTATAGATTTCGTCTACTCCAGCAATACTTGTATGCAATACTTATTTTCTTTAAAAAAAATCTAGACCAACATTTGGAAAGGGCAGAACTTTTTTGTCATCATTTTCTTCAAAAAATTATAACTCAATAATGTCAAGTCCTACAAAAATGTTGCCAAAGGATGGATTGTAGAGAAATAAATGAGCTTTTGTAAGAAAATTAAAAAAAAAACATAAGTCTTTTTTCCACACTAAAAAAAAAAAAATTTAAAACTTAAAATGAGATTGCTTAAAAACACAATTTTCTTTAATCTGAAACTTTTTCTAAAGATAGACATACCATTTATCTACAACTCGTTGATACATCCCAAGATGGGCACTTTTAAAGGAAAAAAGTTATTCAACAAAAACTGTTTCGTTTTCGCACTGAATAAAATGTATGATTTTTTTTTCAGGGTGGGAACGACAAATTTAAAAATTTTGAAATACGTTTTTCACGTCTACCACTAAATAAGATTGAGTTAAACTCCAAATGAAAAATAAAATGATCTGTTATAAAGCTTTTGAATATTAAGGAAGGGTCAACAAGGGTCGGAGATATGGACGTTATACAAATAATGGGTGTTGATATATCAACTCACATAAATCGCAAACAAGATATTTTCAACGAGTGAGAAAACCAGTTTCAATGTTACAAAATGTACCTAGAAAATATATATTATTTCCGTTTAAGATGTATGTACAAAAAAGGTACGATGTAGGTACGACCACAAGCCTGTCTGTAGTTATACATTATTTGCTATTTAAGTGAAGATGTAGATACGACCCTATTAAATGTAGTGCAGAAACAGTGACAGTGAGAAAGTAAATTACTGTAACGTTTAATAATAATTATTCTCATGGATGCCTTAAGTGTTTTTAAATGCAGTGCTGGTATTTCGAATCCCAAGTGCAACCGAAACAAACTACGTTACTTAACACCAGCATTAATTCAAAAAATGCAGTCTATGGAATATACTCACCAACTGAATGTACAGATGCGCATTTGTGAGTCATGCCGTGCATTGGTTCAGCACAATAGATATACATCCAAAAAACCACGCTCGGATCTGTGCGATCCACAACCATTCACAAGTGGGTATGAACCACCAACAAATGATGAATAACCATCAACAAGTGGCCACCAACCTGATGATATACCAGGTAAGAATACTCAGATCGATAATTTAAATTTACACCTTTTTTTTTATTTGTAGGCTAAAAAAATACTTGCTTAAACCTTGCACACTTATTAATTCATATTTTACTTTTCTTGTCTTACAGAAGTACCGTCAATTCCATCATTAGAATCAATTGCATCAGCGGACCAGTTACAGGGACCGTATAATGTGGAAATATTCAATAGCATCGTTCACATTGAATATTTCACCAATTTCATTAAGGAACATGAAGAACAATGAAGTACCGTGTAACAAAATCAACAAACATCACACAAGCAGTACGACATAATTTTTTAATATGGATCCAATAGACATCAGTAAAGCAGAAGCATTCGACAAAATGGTAAAACAATTAAAAAATAAGTTTAATTCAGCTCCTGATGATAGAAATGAGCAGATAAAAGTTTTATCAGTGTTACCGCACTCTTGGTCAATAAATAGAATCGTAGAAGAGTTCAATGCACCGGTATATATGGTAATGGTATGCCTCAGGGTTGCCACAAATCTTTGTTCACTGATGACACAGGCATTTCCGCTAAAGGAAGAAGTCTTCGTGTTATTTGCAGCAGACTGCAGAAAAGTTTAGATATTTTCTCTTCTTAGTTACAAAAATGGAAGATTTCTCCCAACGCTTCCAAAACTCAACTTATAATATTTCCACATAAGCCTAGAGCTTATTTTTTGAAACCTAGTAGTAGTCACATAGTCACTATGAACGGAGTTCCAATTTCCTGGTCAAACCAAGTGAAATATCTTGGAATTAATACTTGGCCAAAAATTAACTTTTAAAGATCACATTGAGGGCATTCAAGCCAAATGTAACAAATATATAAAATGTTTGTATCCTCTTATAAACAGGAAATCCAAACTTTGCCTCACGAATAAACTTCTAATATATAAACAAGTTTTTAGACCGGTCATGCTAATATGGTCTTGTTGTTGCACTACCAGGAAAAAAGCACTTCAAAGGATTCAGAACAAAGTTCTGAAGATGATTTTGAAGTTGCCTCCCTGGTACAGTACTACCGAAGTACATAGAATTTCGAATGTTGAGACTTTAGAACAAATGTCCGACAAAATAATTAATAATTTCAGGCAAAAATCGTTGCAATCCTCAATTATTTTACCGACTTGTTCTGCTGTTCAAAAACCCGGTAAAATCCTACCGACTTCGGTGATCTGAATTAAGTGTGTACAATATTTGAAGAAACGTATGCGCGTATTAAAATTGGCTTCACCTTATTTACAACGTTGAGACCTAAACATTGTAAGCTACTTGATAGTAAAGGTACTCATAATGTATGTGTGTGCACAATCCACGAAAATGTAAAATTAATGCTAAATAGTCTAGGAATCGTATCCCAGGAAGAAAAAAACAAACAAACAGACAAAAGCATAACAAAATTGAATTTCTGTTATATAGGGGAAATGGATGTTATGTCGGCCTAAATGCCCCTAATTTAGGCCCATACATAAATTCAGCAATCGACTAAATTTTCAAAAGCGACCATAAATATCTATTAGTCCGTCCCAATGACGCGTTCATATACATAAAATTGATAAATAGCAGATTTTTTTTTTGTGGCCAACGGCTGAAAGTCTCCTTAATAAAGATATATAAAAAAAAGCAGATTTTTAGCGATGGGCCTAATCTTAGAACCATTGGCCAACATTAGAGCCATTTCCCCTATCTACTGAGCAATACGAAAAAATGTCAGAAGAACTAGAAGATTTGTTTTACCACGCAAAGACGATATCTGGTACACAAAAATTGCACAGTTACAGTCACAGTTGTTTGACAATGTTAAGAAATAATACATATAAGTTATTCTCTAAATAAGATAAAATAAAAATTTATGAAATAAGACCACCATTTTTTCATACTCTGCCAATTAAACATAACATTAAAATTAAATTTTCTATATCATTCACATTAGGATTGAATACGTCTTCAATATCTTTTTTGGTGTACCTTTCATTTGGAGCTTGTTGAGTGAAATCCGGTTGAGTAGTAGGTTTCACATGAGTCTCAACATTTCAAAAAAAAAAAAAATCATCGATTTTATTTAGTGCGATCACAAAAAAGTTTTTGTTATATAACTTTTTTTTTCTTTAAAATGGCCCATGAACGAGTTATAGATAAATGGTCTGCCTCTCTGTAGAAAAAATTTCCAATTTTTAAAAAATTGTATTTTTGAGAAATCTTAAATTTAAATTTTAAACATTTTTTTCTTCAGTGTATAATAACATTTTTAATGTTTTGGTATGTTATTGTGCAAGCTCATTTATTTATCAACAAATTATTTCTTGGCAACATTTTTGTAGGACTTGACATTATTGAGTTATAATTTTTT